GACACCCTTGGTTGACCAAGGGCTCTTGTTCTTGGGCTTATCGTCGCCGCTGTCCTTGTCTTCTTCGGATCCGGCCGGAATGAACTTCATAATCTTGGCGCGAACGTCGTGGAGTACTTCCTCGTCTTCTTCGCCAGGGCCACCCTCAGTAAGCTTGAGCTGCTCGTGAGGCTTGCCATCAGCATCGTCGCCTTCACCACCAGCGGCCTTGTCGGCTTCCGTAGTCGGCTCGGGAGTGCCAGTGGCAGGAGTCGTAGCTAGGCTGGAGGCACCACCAAAGTTAAAGGGTGAATTAGTGCCAGTGGTAGAGGCACCCGCGGGGGGGTTCAGGTTACCGAACATACCACCAGAGGGAGGCTGGGCAGGCTTGGCACCGCCAAAGAGGTTGCTCGTAGGCGCCGGGGTTGACGCTCCAAAGAGCGGCTTCTGAGACGCAGGTGCCTGAGCACTGGCAGATCCATTAGCGGCACCGAAGGTAAAGGTGGGAGTCGAGGCAGCAGGGGCAGCAGGCTGAGCGGGAGCGCCGCCTCCAAACTGGAAGGGACTGCTGCTTGCCGCCGCAGGTGCAGGCGCGGACGAGCCACCGCCAAACTGGAACGGCGTAGAACTGGTCGAGGGGGCGGAAGATCCGCCGCCACCAAAGTTAAACATGCCGCCGGCCGAAGGCGCGGGAGCAGAACCCGAGCCGCCGCCGTTAGCAGATGCGAAGGGGTTGTTGAAGCTCGTGCCGCCACCGCCGGCGCTGAAGGTGAAGGATGAACCTCCGCCAGAGCCGAAGCTTGGAGGACCGCTAGAGCCGCCGTTTGTCTGAGGCGCATTCGCAGCGCCGCCGAAGGGGTTAGCTGGGGCTGCACTCTGGGATCCACCAAAGTTGAACATGCCACCAGATGGTGCGGCCGGGGCAGAGGGAGCGGGTGCGTTGAACTGTCTCTTCGCTGGCGGGCCATCCTGCTTCATGGGGCTACCACCGAAGGGAGAACCAGCGGACTCGGTCGGCTTGCTGGCGCCGAAGCTGAAGGCAGGAGCCGCAGTGGGCGCGGGAGCAAACTGCGGGGCCTTGGAACCCTCGTCATTGGGCTTAGCACCGAAAAGGTTGGAGGTGCTCGACGCGGGTGCCGGGGCACCAAAGAGAGGGTTCGACTGGAAAGGAGTCGAAGTGCTCGATGTGCTGGCGCCGAAGAGGGGTTTAGCCGGTTCGGGGGCGGGAGTCTCCTGAGGCTTGCTGCCGCCAAAGAGTGTCGATGACTGCATGACGGAGCCCGCAGGCTTGTCTTGGGAACCAAAAAGGTTTGAAGCTGGGGCGGCAGGCTTGGGCTCTTCCGCTTTGGGAGCGGAAGCACCAAACGCGAAAGTCGGCGCAGCAGCCGCCTTGGGAGCTGCCTCGTCCTTCTTGGGTGCCTCAAACGGCTTCGACTGGAACCCGGAGAAGCCGCCAAAGGGGGACTTGGAAGGGCGCTGTGAGTCGTTCTCCTTGTCGGACTCCGCGCCCTTGTCCTCCTCAGGAGCAGACCGCTTCTCGGCCTTGGGCTTCTCATCTTGCTTCGGGGCGCCGAACAAGTTGGATGCAGGAGCTGCAGGAGCTGTAGGCTTAGCACCGAAGATGGAGCTCGATCCGTTTGTGGACGCACCGAAAAGTCCATTGCTAGGCGCAGGGTTGGCATTGAATTTGATCGGGGAGTTGGGGTTCCAGGTGGCGTTGACCGGGGCCGGAGCAGCCTCCTTGGCCGGCGCAAAAGCTGGTTTTTCAGGGGCCGGGGCCGGCTCAGCCGAGTCCGCGCGGAGAGGCTGTCCATTGTTGCCCTTAGTCACGCGGTCGAACAGACTCTTAGTCCCGGAGGGCGTAGTCTCCCGGGCGTCGGACGAAGTGCTGGAGGGGGCAGTCGCGGCGCCAGCAGAGAATAGAGGCTTCTTAGCACCAAAGAGGTTGGACGCTGGCTGGCCCAACGGCGTTTCGGCACCACCACTAGCGGCAACGCTGGGTTCCGCCTCGTCATCGGAATCAGTCTCACTCTCTGCGTCGGCCTCCACACCGCTGTTCTTTGCCGAACTAGCATCAGACAGGTAACCAAAGATGTTGGATGCCTGGGCAGGCTTGAGCTGTTTCTCGAAAACAGAGCGCGACAGGTCGTTGTTGGCAGGCTTGGGTGCCGCTCCGAAGAGGCTGCTGGGCTTGGCTTCCGCAGCCTTGGGGGCGGAGGCAGGGGCAGGTGCGGCCTTGGGCGTTGAAGAAGGGCCTTGGTTGTTGGCAATCTTTTCGAACATGCTCTTGGTAGCTGAGGGTGTCGAGGTAGACTTCTGCAACTTGCTGGGCTGGTTCTCATCCGACTCATCCTCAACAGTTGCCTTCCTCTTGTTCTTGACCGTAGCCGGCGTCGCCGGCTCTTCATCCTCTCTGTCCACAAGGCGCCTCTTGTTATTCTTATTGGGAGACGCGGACGAAAGGGCCGCGTCCTTGGGAGTCAGCTGGTCTTCAGCCTTGCGCTTGGAACGAGTAGTCTGCCTGGATGGGCTGGCATCCGCAACTTCCTCCTCGGGCTCAGGCAACCCATGTGCGGACCTCCACTTCTTTAAAACCTCCTCTGAGGGCTTGACGTTCTTGAACTCGTACAAGCCATATCTGAGCATAATCAAGCTCCGGCTCTTTTCGAATTCCTTTGCAAAGTTCATGATGTTGAGCTTCCAATCCTTCTTGGTGAAGATCTCGTTGGCGGCATATTTCAGGCGGCGAAGATCGAGAACGCAAAATAGCTGACGGCGCTGCAAGTCGTCGTACTCGGCCGGAACCAAGTGGCTGAGATACTGGTCGGCGTACACGGTACCCTTAGCTTCGAGCTCAGGGGGGATATCTCGCGCGAGAACTTCGCCAGATAACTCGGGAGGCGGGGAGGGGATGCGCATCTGGAAGAGATCGGCCGAGGTCGATTTGGCTGCCATGCCGCGAGGAGTCGCCTGGGCGATGTTCTCTCGATAGACCTTTTGAGAAGCCGGAGTCGCGCCGGGCGCGAAGACTTTCTTGGCGGTGCTCGCGGGCAAGCTCGGAGCGAAGGGGGTAGTGTTGGAGCTTGCGCTCAGAGTAGAGGAGCGGAAGAGGTTGCTCGCGGTGGAGATGGTGCTCGCGTTGAGGTTGCTCGATGGCATGGGGTCGCGATTCAAGACTCTCTGCGATGGAGCAGTCTTGGGGGTGCCGAGTCGCTTGTTCGGGTTCAGAGGCGAAGCTTGGTAGCTACGGTTCGCGAATTTGAGCGACGGACGGGGCCGCGGGGTGCTGTTTCTTTGGTCCATGATGATGCGCGACGACCAAAGAATCGATTTCTGGATTATAATTAGTCGTTGGTGATGAGGTTTGCGCCGGTCGACTCGGTCTCGGGGGGAGAGTCGCGTCTCGATTCACGCAGGATTCGCAGACAAAGCCAGGCGGGCAAGGAAAGGAAAGCAGGCGCAACTGCGAGAAGTAACTGCTAGAGGGTAGATGCGATTGGATTGAGAAAAACGCTCAATGATGGCTGAAGCTTCGACTGCAACAAAACGCGATGGCGCAGCGATCAAGAAAGTGATGCTGAACAGCGCATCCAACACGCCTTTGATGGTAGTCTGGCTGGCAAAAGCACAGGAAGATTTTGGTGCTGGATGATTTTTGGTGTGGCTCGACCGGGCGACGGGTGACGGGGCCAGCTATTGGGAAAAAAACCAGGCCACACCTCAGTGCAGGGGGGCGCGAGCACGGTCGGCAAAGAGTGGGTCGGTTTTCTGCCGTCACTCAACCTCAGGCCAGCGTCACCGCCTTCAATTGGTCGCAAGTTGCGGATACCTAAAGTGCGAAGGAAGTGGCAGGTGCAACTGCGACAGAGACTGGGCGCTTCTGGTTGGTGGTCGGCGCTTGCAATTTTTCCTAGGGCGTTCCCCAGAACCCGGTCTTTCCTCAGGTCCCGCGTCACGATCTTCCAGCTTTCAACCAGTCGAACGAATGGAAGCTACGAGTAGCACTACGTATCTTCTCAGTGGTACCTTCTCAATGAACCTTAGGTAATTAACGTAGGTACGACGGAGCATTCGCTGGCCCAGGCGTTTTCCTCGAGTCTGCTGAGTCAGCTCACACCATGTGGCCCGTATCCAACCATACGAGACAGGTGTGCAGCTTGACTGCAACATACACCTTCGAATCTGCTGCACTCCTGACCCTTTTGCGTCTGCACCAAGAGACGTATGTCTGGCTGGTGCGACTGCGACACTGAAACCAGGGGAACACGGTTCCCCAAATCGGACTGCAGCCTCGCTCACGAGATACTCACAATCTAGCCATGTCTACTCGCTGGCACTCTTCAAATCATGGGTACGCATATAAAGGGCATCGACTGGTCATCACAGGCTTGTTCTCCATACGGTTAATAGTATCCAATCAACTATTGGCTAGATCCGGCTCACCACGGCCGGAGCCCAGAATGCACGTGAAGATGGCGGCGCCGGTGCTCCGACCCCAGATGGGCCTCCTGACTCGGGGCGGCAATACTCGGGGATTTCCACCATCTGAGGCCCAGCACCGTTGACGTTGCGCTCGAAGTCACGAAAACAATGATGATCTATGAAGCGCATCGGACGTCCGTTTAAAAAATAAAACCCGACATTCGTAGAGTGCCGGCCTGTTTTCTTCCGGGGGCATAGCCATAAGTTCAGTCCCGACGTCGAGAGATTCTCTCGTTCTTCAATGTCCCGCTACGATAGTCGGTCTTAGAGGCTATCACATGCTTTCCCCATGGCGTACACCGTAATGAATAAATTGATAAACTAGCACTCCCGACTCTCTCGCAACTTTTCAAATGGATAACCCGTCAGCTTCACGGCAACGAATAACTGTCAAGACGCGAATTAATTGATCATGGTCTCATTTCCTACGGCAACGCTACGTTTGGCGCGCATCCAGGTGCCAACACTACTTGCCGGCCCAACTGGTAGGTTATGATACAGGGTATTACCAACAACGCAATATCCATCGCGACGCACATTTACAACTTGGCCTTGGACTGGGCCTTCTTCAGGATGGGCTCCATCCTGGTGGCCTTCATGACGTCGCCCTTGATCTTGAGCTTGCCGGACATGAAGAGCTTCTGGGCGTTAGCCTTGCCCTGGACGAGGTTGCCAAAGTCGGCGTCGGACAGAGACAGGGTGACTGAGTCGAGGTTAGTATTAACTGGCTCTATTGGAGAGGGAAACACTCCACGCGCGGGTGACATACCGGTGGGCTTCTCGCCGGTGCCCTTGGCGACCGCGCCCTTCTCCTTGAGGTCAATGTGCCAGCTGTCGGTCTCGCCGGCAGAGTTCTTCAGGGTGAAGGCGAAGATGGCGTTGCCCTGCTTGATGGCGTCCTTGCGGTCGGGCTCGCTGGAGCCGAGCGCATCGTTGATGGCGTCGAAGGCGGCCGAGGAAGGGAACTTGTCTAGAGGAAAGCAGCCAGAGTCAGTGCTGGGAACGATTGAGACCGAGACCGAGACATCCTGTTGGAGAGTCACGTACCGTTGGCGAGACCCATTGTGGTTATAGGATAGAGATACTTGGTGTAGAATGAGTCGAGATGGTATATATGATTGACAGTTGGATGTGATAGATCGCGAAAAGATTGCCGAAACGTGGGGGAAGGGACTCGGGATAGTTTAAGTAGTGAACAAAAAGGTGTCAACGGTAAGCCGTGCGTCGGAGGTTGGGGTCGTCGGACGGAGGAATAAAGAAACAGAGAGGAACGGAGGCGGAGTGATGGAAAGCTACTTGGCTAAGCGCACCGCAGCAATGACGCTCAGTCGTCGCATGTGAACCTCGGCGATTTAGCAGCACACGGCAGGGCGTCATGTGCCCGCGCGTGTCCTCACTGCTTGAGGTAGGTAAGGTAGCAACCTTAGGGAATTAGTGGGTCGTTCTTCCCCATGGTCCACCTAAGTTCCTAACCGTATTCCGTGTGGAAGGAACCTACCTGACCCCAGCCAGGTGCAGCCATATCCACCGCACCCCTGCACTTATCCTGCCTTCTTGGGGGATTCTTCTTCCACTCCCGCACGCTTCATGCCAGTTCCATTTCATGGGGGCCGACTGGCGCGCATTGGGCCAACGGAGACTCGTGGATACTTCGTTTCGTCATTTACGGTTACTTCGACCTTTGAGGTAATCCGCACCTTACCTTACTGGACTTTCCATCATGAGGGTGTCACGGACGGCAGGCGGCCACAATCGAACGGAGCACAGGCGCTGCCACGACGGGACACACATCAAACGTAGCCACTCGTCCTTTACCACTCATCATCAACCTTGACAGCTGGGTTCTAGAATGGCCATCTTCGATACGTTTTCCGATTCACGAACTGTGACCAGAGTGCCCCAGCCACAGCGCCACAGAAGACCTTGCTTTCGTTCATTTTCAACCTGCAATGCCCACGCCCACACCCATGTTGCACTGTCTACCTCGATTCCACAGCATGCTTCAAGTCTACCGGCGCTGGACAGTGACAACGATCCATGGGGGCGCTGATCCCATCACCTATTGCCATGGATCTGATTCCGGCCCTTGCCAACGACTGTCTTGAGCGCCTTGCCGGTTACATGCCAGCTACATGCCGCAGGGAACAATCCCCGTTCTTCGCTGTGCTCCAGCTAGCGTTCGTCATGTCTCGTAGAGACCGAGGCTCCAAAGGAAAACACGAGGGAAACAAGACTCGATCAAGTTCGATCAAAGGTCCAAAACAAGACGGCAAATACATAACAATGCAAGACATCCCGACTCTATGGTTCATTTCTCCCCGAAACAAGCTTCAGACGACCTTACAATACCCGAATCGCTTTCCGCATTCGGACTCAATTCATGCTTTGCTTCCCTGATGGTTCGCCACGATCTCTCATTGCGACCTCTCTCGTTGATGGCCAGTCAGATGCTGCAGATCCCCAACATTCGTCCCAAGCTTCTCTTCAATCTGACAGCAGCCGAGGGAAGTCAAATTGGGGTAACACCCCAGAAGCCCTTGCTCCGGATTGGGGCAGCGCCCACGAGAACGAGTCCGAGTGCGGTGAGCTGTCATGTAGTGTGCATGAGAACAAAAGCCCCAGGCACACATCAAGATCCAGGCACAGAAGGGGACCTCGGCTCGAAACCACCATCGAAAGAGGCTGAAAGACCTCGTACGGCACGGGTTGATCAACGTTTCGGGAGTTTGGCAGTTCGTCCGACCCCGGCTTTGAGTACTGTTTGTGCGGATATGCTACCAAGGTGCTGCGTCGAAACGTGCCTCCTCCGCCCATTGGTGCCACAACATGCGAACCCCTGTCTGAACTCCAGGAAGAGCCGTCAATACTATGACCTCCCGATGCAGATACGTTGGCTAAACCGCATTTGCCATTAATGTTCAAGTCAAAGCCACGCTAGCGGCCGAACATACTACAGCTGACAAGGCCGCGGCGAATCATCCTCAACATCCCGTTGACTTGTCCAACATCTTTCTCCGCAACGTGTATGTTGACCTGACATGTTCGCAACGGTTGCCGAGTCCACTAGTTGAATCGGAACGCACTGCGAAGTCCACTTGGATGAACAAGACGATTGATGCGGGGAGAGACGCACTGTCAAGCCGTCCTCCCGTTAAATCTTGTCTGCTTGATGAGTGACCTCGAGCTGCAGCGGACGATGTACGCCCAGCAAAAACCTGCTCTACTAAGTCGTCTGACCTGCGATCGTATATATTGTCCCCGATATCTCAACGGCAAGTCAATGAGCATTGGACATATCGTGGCCATCATTTGTTGACACTTATCATAGTCCTCTTCTACGTCCACTTCAGGCGCAGTTGAGTTCCCACATACGCAAGAACTTTTGCCGCTGGGCATCTTTCCTTGGATCTTGAATTCCAAATCTACATCCTCCCCCCACTATTTACACGAAGTCTCAATTATACCACAAGACGCCACTTAGCCTTCCCTAGGCTTTCAAGCTGCCGTATCCCGAAGATACGCGGCAAGGACGCCTCCCCATCCACCAGTGTTATCGCTCGCAAACACCTCCCAGATGACGCCCCCAGTCTTGTCGTACAGCAGCGCGGTGGTGCTCTTGGTGCTCAGGCCGAACCAGTACGTCGACTTGGCGCCGTCAGCGTAAGCCTGGTTGGTCATGCAGTTGCCGCCCGTGTTCTCGCACTGCGCGTTCTGCCACTGGTTGTCGTTCATCTTGTTGAAGAACACCCACAGCGCGGAGCCGTGGATCACCACCTTGGAGCTGCCCGTCATGTAGTGACCCCACGATCGGTAGCATCGGTCGTTGTTGCCTTGTCCCTGGGCTGCGCAGTTGCTGAAATCCGGGTCACCGAAAGCTGGTTTTACGCTGTGGCCGAAGAGAATTAGCCATCCAGAGTATTGACACATTTTGGACCAAGAGCATGAAGCCATGGATTGTGGCGGGGATTGACTTACGACCACGGGCTGGGCGCTCTCTGGGGAGTCCCCTCACCCTGCCAATACGCAGACTCCGTCTGCTCCAAGCTGATGTACACATTCTGCGCGTTGTGGAGGTTATACTGATACAAGACACAGTGCTCGAAGCTCGTTCCCACCAGCCACGTGGGCTTGGTGCTCTCGATGAGCGCGCCCCTGCCGACGGCAATGTTCTGCGCGGCGCCGCCGTCGAGCGAGTGGTCCGCCACCCAGCCCCACACGTTCTCGAGGTACGCGCTCGCCGTGGAGGTGACGTGCATGAGCGCAAAGGCGGCCTTGCACGCGCCCGGGTCCGCGCCGCCGCAGTTCGTGTTGGTGAGCGAGTGCTTCGTGCCGCCGACGCGGAAGACGCTGCTCCAGATGCCGACGTCGCCGGGCCGCGCGCCGGCCATGTTGATCTGGACTAGGGTCGCGCCCTGGAGGACGTCGGCCACCTCGACCGTGATGTCGGTGATTTGGGCGACGCCCGTCTCGCCGGGGTTGCCGACCTTGAGGATGGGCTGAGGGTCGTCCGGGTTCCAAAACTTTGATCCGATGCCTATTCTCAAGTCAGTAACCGGTTTCACGGGACTCTAGTGGCTCAGACATGACCTACCGTTGATGATGCTGAGCGTCTCACCGACCAGTCTTGTTCCGGGGGGCACATAGATCGTCTCCTCGGTGCGGTAGATGCCCTGCGGCACAAAGATGATCTTGCAGCCCTTGTACTTTTGCAAGATGGCGTTGATGCTCGGCCCGTCATTGTGACTGTTGTCACCGTACACGGGGTACTGCGCATCGCCCTTCAAACTCATGAACTGATCCAGCGCATACTTCTCATACTGCGGCAGCGGCGCGGTAAAGTACTTATCCCCGGAAACCAGCGCGGCGGGCCGGTCAATGGGGTACACGGTTCCCTTTTGCAGGTTATTCGAGTTGACGTACCCCATGACCCACGTCTGCCCGGCCGTCACAGAGTCCTTGCGTAGCGTCGATCCATCGCTCGCAGACTTGACGGCCGCGGTGCTCTCGCCGCCAACCTGGAAGTTGTCGAGGACCAGAGAATTCTGGCCGTAGCCCGTCACGAGGTTGTTGACGCCGGCGTTGCAGGAGGATTCTACCCTGGAATCGACGACGGAGACCATGCCCGCCGTGTTGCGGCCCATGTCGATGCCAAAGTTGCAGTTTGCGAAGGTGGCGCCCTGGACGACGGCGACCCAGACGTGGTCGACGGAGATGCCGACGTTGCAGCCGTTGAAGGAGAGGTTCTTGAATTGGTATTGCTGGCCGTTGACTTTGATGCCGATGGCGCCTCCTTCGAATTGCTGGGCGCACTGTTAGTTTCTTCGGAAAACTCGAGGGCTTCCTCGATGCGTTTCAAGCCGGGGAAAGGCTGTTCACAACCAAAAGAGAGAAAGGAAGACGAAGAAAAGGCGAGAGAGACTTACACAATCGCTGATCAAGATTCCAGAACCGCCCTGCGCCATAGTAACACCAACATGGCTCGAGAAATTCGGCATGCGCACTTTGACATTCGTCAACGAGCACCCCTGCGACACGCTCCAGTCCATCCCGACGGCCGCGACGCCGGTGCCAATCTCGGTGGTGTCAATCACCAAGTTCCGCACCGCCATGTAGAAATTCTTTGTCGCGGACCCGTCGCCCTGGTGAGAGTCGTACCCGTTGATCACGGGTTGCTCGCCGAGCGCCGGATCGGCGATGAGCACGGGCGGGTTGAGGGCGTCGCCGACGAGGTAAGTCGTCACGAGCATCTGGATCGGCTTCTTGATGCGGTACCGGCCGGGCGGGACGTAGATGTAGGCTGGGCGGGTTGTTACCGTGTTACCTGTGCGGCTCCATGCTGTTTGTACGGTTTTTTGTCAGTTACATGGATTCAACAATATCTTTTCCCCTCAGATGAGTTGGAGTATGTATATATCGAAGCATGAGTTAAAGAAAAGGCCAGGTAGTATCTTACCTTCAATGGCAAAGTTAAAGGCATCAGACGAGTCCTGGATGCCCGTGTTATCGGCGCCGTACTGGACCGCCGTCCGGTAGTACTGGTACGTCGAGTCCGTGCTCGTAGGC